AATGTGGCATCATAATACACTTACAAGAGATAAAACAATACAATATCAACCTTCATGTATTTTTCATATATTAATCATCATTTTTAGCATTTGGTCTTTCTAAAACCACAACAATAAGCTATTCCTCAAGCGTCCTAAATCAGCAATTTCTCATTTCCTCATGAAATTTCCTCATTTGATGCAACTACATAAATTTCTTCCATCATTTACTCACATTACAAATTATCAAGCATAAGTTTTATAATATCTCAACCTTTTTCCAAAATCCCAAAATTCTAGAGTTTTCACCAAAACTAGATTTTTGTTTTTTTTTGAAAGACTTTTCTAAAACAACACCCACACTTTGTAACATAACTCATATTCTTAAAAGCTTTGGTAAAATAGAGAAAATCCATTCCTAATATCATCTAGGGTTCATCAACCCAAAATCATAGCTCAAACATGTAAGAAATACTTCAAACAAGCATAATCTTGCGAAAACATATATATAACTCTAAAATTGTCTCTACCTCAAGCTTGGAAGAGGAAGGAGATGAAAACCCTAAAGCTCAACGTTGATGAAAACTCGATTGAATGGATGCTACAGTCCTCATCACCCTCTTCGATTTGATGTAAAAATCCTCTCAAACTCTTGAAGATTTGAGCTAAATCTTAGAAAAAAGTTTGGATTTGGGTGTATTTGTAGAGAGAAGGGAATTCCAATTTGCATGAGTGGATTCTGATGCCTTCACGAGCGGTTTGCTTCAGAAAGGAACCCAGAAAATTTTCCAAAATCCGCTTGAGCGGTTTACAGAATCCGTACGAGCAGTTTTCTACCTAGAAAACCCAAAAATCCCTGTGAGAATCCGCTTGAGTGGTTGCCAAATCTGCACGAGTGGTTTTGCCCAAAGACTCAGAAATTGATTTTTATACTCTGAAACTAGTTCCAATGCCCAAAATCCAGAACTTTTAACTCGAAAAAGTTAAGAGAGATTAAATAAGAGTAGAAAAGAAATCTCAACGATCTAATATGATAAACAAAATGCCAAAAGTAATGCACACAAACTTATTACTTAATACTAGTCAAGTCCAATACCCGGGATATCACAACACTAAAGTATAGAGAAGAGAACAAAAAATACAAAACAATTTTTACTATTTTTGAAACATTTTTAACCTTTTATTTATTGTTAAACCATTTATCATCTCTGATATTAACTAGTATTCCGATGGCGCTTGTCAGCATTTTTTATTTTGTTAAAAATTGACACTGCTAGATCATTGTGAATGACATTTTTAACATTATGTTTCAAAAATAATACTGTCGTATCATTAGTTCTATGTATAAAAACTGAGATTGTTTACCAATTTTCTCTTTAACAATGTTTGAATAAAAAACTAAATATTATTATAGAGGTGAGAATTTCTAAAATGACACCAACAATATATAAAATTAACAGATTAGGATTGGTTAATTTTAAACATGAATCCAATTATGACACTACAAAATTATGCTAAATTGGTTAATTTTAAACACGAATCCAATTATGACACTACAAAATTACACTAAAAATAAATTAGGCAAGTGTCAAACCGATAACCTGAAGTTGACACAAATAACTTATTCAAAGAAAAAATATTACACATTTTAATGTTATTTATATTAAGAAAGACTATCTATGCAAAAAATCAGTTTAATCATATATAAATTAATGAACAATCAATTTAAATTTAAACTCATAGTTACTATCAATTTTTTAAAAATAAAACATAATTTGTTCATATGTTTAGCGATGGTCGATCAATTTGACAACTCATTTTTATTGCTAAGCTTATGAGATGAACTATTAATCGGTATGGGACTCGCTAAATTGGGTATGAAAAAAGGACAAAAAAGAAAGAGAATTTCGTCAAAACTCTTTCATAATAAAATTTTAATATATTAAGGATAAGTACAAAAAAATCTCATTGAAAAGTTCAGCACACACACCCATATTATTAAAATATCCTTAGTGACTAATTTAATATTTTAAATTTTAAAATGATATAACTTTTTATCTAAATGTCAGTTTTTAATAAAATTAATAGTTTTAGAATCCTGTCATCAAGATTTATAAAACAAGATTTAGGTTGATTATGAAATTCTTAGAAAAAAAATTATCATCGTAATTGACTTAAACAATAAAATTTTATTAGTAAAATTTTATTGTTGACGTTAGTTTCAATGGAAAAAAATATTACATTTTTTTATAAAGAATTTTATAAGCAAAATAGATCTTATTTAATAGATCTTGACGAGAGAATTTTAAAATTATTAATTTTAATAAAACTAATATATAGATAAAAAGTTAAATTAATTTAAAATTTACAAGTATAAAAGTTATTACTAAAGATATGATTGTCTATAAAAATAAAAATAAATTTATTTGTTCTTGACGAAAGAGGTGTTTCTTCTATAAGAGACTTGCAAATTTAAAAAAATTAGGTTGTGCTTTTTATTTTAAAAGCGACTAATGAGAGACTTTTAGTCAAATATTAAAAAAAAAAGAAAAAAGAAAAGAAAAGGGGATTCCCAAGTATTACCATTTGGCATTTGCATAACCAACAGGCGTTCCAGTCCGTGCGAAATTAGCGTCAACTGCTCTTAATCACACACTATCATTTTTTACCTAAAGGTTCTTTACTTCGGTCCAAAAATATGGGTATTTTTGTAATTTTAAATTCCAAATCATTGCTATGATCCGGGAGCCTCTATTTGCACACACCATTTACCCTCTTTACACACACTTAATGAATTTTTTTTTTATTACATTTCAGTCCCAAAATGAAACTATCAAAATAACCTTCCTCTTCTCCCCAACCCCCGTCTCTTTCAGTCCAAAAACCTAACCCTAACCCTAACCCTAACCATCATCCTCCATGGCCGCCGCCTCTCTTTTCCTCCATCACCGCCATTACCTTTTCCTTCACCTCCCTTTCATCTGTGAACCATTGCCTTCCCGCTTCTCTTCCCCACCACGTCGGGCATCGTGGAATCGCCTCCGTTCGGACTACCAGTGTCGAATGAATCGCCTTCGTTCGGAAATCAACCATCGAACCAATGAATTTGGTTCGACTATCACCATCCGAACAAAGCACACTGGTTCGACCATCGACATCCGAACCCCCTTTCGTCTGCGAGCCGCCGTCGCCGTTCGTCTGCGAGTCGTCGTCGCCTTCCTTTTCGCGACTGAGAGGAGAGAGAGAGAGAGGGGGGGTCGCCGGTGCTGCGTCGCCGTCGGCAAGGTGGTTGCTGCCTAGGGTTAGGGTTAGGGTTTGATCGTTGTTGGTTGGTGTGGAAGAAGGTGTGTGAATTGGGAATGTGTGTATGGGTATACCTGGAATAAAATTGTGTGTGTTGAGTAAATTATTATTTATTTATTTATTTTTGGTGTGTGAATTTAGAAAGATGTGTAAAAAGAGGAATGTGTGTGTGTAAATAGAACCTTCCCTATGATCCACTCGAATCTATTGCTCTTTTGTCGTTTCGTCGTTTTGACTTCAATTTCCCAAATTACTCTCCCTTTTCACTTTTTAATCCAATAATATTATATGTATTAATATATTAATAGATGATATGGTATAATTTTAAAAATTTATAATTTATATAATATATGAGATCAATAATAATAATATAACACTAACTAATACACTAATACATATATTAATTAGTATATGTAATACTACTTCTATTTTTAATCTTTTCTAAAAAAATAAATTTTTTTAGCCATCCACAAATATTATTTTATATGTTATTTACATTTTTAATTCCTTACACCAACTCCTAAAAGAATATATTTATGTAATTTTTATAATGAAATGATTAATATGTGAGAGTTTTTAAATAAAAAAGAAAATAAAGTGATATTTCGTAATAGTTATGGAATGACATAAACTATTAATTTTCATAAAATTTTATTGAAAATAAATATTAATAAAATCTTCGTTAAAAATAATATATATATATTGCTAAAAGTGGCTTTTTTTTTTTTTACAATTTTTATAAATTTTCACTAAAATTTATAATTAATAATTTTTTTGGTGACGAATTTTTTAAACTATCATTAAAATTTAAAAAGTAGTGATTTTTTTGATAATTTTTTTAAACTATCGCTAAAAACTTATAATTAGTAATATTTTTTGTGACAAAATTTTTAAACTGTCATTAAAAATTAATAATTAATAATATTTGATAAAAAATATCATTAATTATCATAATAGCAGTGGAATAATAAATCCATGGGTAAATTACAAATACAGTCTTTGAGGTTTGATTAAAATACGAATCGTCTACTGTGGTTTTAAAAATTAGATTCTACCCTCTGAGATTTTTAATTTTATAACAAATCATCCATTTTATTAATAAATTATTAAGTCAATTAATAGTTTTTAATGATGTTAAAAATATGTTTAAATTAATAATTCAAGTAATTTTATTATTATATATGAGAGCAATTATAATTTTATTTTTTAGTTAATTCTATTAAATAAATTTTTTTAACAAAAAATATTTATAATTTTTTAAATTATAAGAAACAATTTATATTTCAAACATTCTCAAGAATGTGTTTATAATTTGGCTTATTTTGGCAACATAGTTTTTAGTCATTTTTTTGGTTAGTAACAAAAGTCAAAAGTTGACTTTTTTGGCTTTTTTTTCATTTGGGAAGTTGGTTTTTAGCTAACAGTGAAATTACAATTTTACCCCTCATGGGTCAAAATATGTTACATAGGTGAAGTTGTAAATATTTTAAATAAATAGGGATAGTTTGATCATTTTATTATGATTTGACATCATAAACAAATATTAATCAAAAAAGTCAAAAATCACTTTTACTAACTTCCCAAATTATTTATCTAAAAAAGCCAAAAATTTAATTAAAAGACAAAAAAATCACTTTTTACCATCTTCCCAAAACAACCCTTTATCCTAAATAGCACTCCCTTATGGCGTGTTGATGTAATTAATCTGACCAAAAAAACAAAAACGAGAGAACAATCTCAGCACTACTGTCACTCTAGCTTCAGTCGGTATCCAAGGAAGGAGATAACACGCATTCTCTCTCTCTCTCTCTCTCTCTCTCTCTCACACACACACACGCTCTGTTCATGGTGTCTCTTTCTTTCTCTCTCTAAAAGTCTCTCCAAAGGTCTGTTATATATGATCTCTGGATTTGCTTTCTCAAAGCAAAACCTAGCTAAATTTTCGAATCAACGTTATTGAGTGAGTTTAGTTTGATTAATTTGCCGTTGTGTTTGTTATGATTCGCTTGTCTTCTTCGGAGATCAAGTACTAGTGTTGAAGAAATCAAACTTAATCTGATCGGCATTTCTTCAACAATGAAGTCTAGTACTCGTCTCGACTCTGCCATTTTTCAGCTCACGCCTACTCGAACCAGGTAATTTCTCCCCAATGTTCTTCACTGCTTCATGACTAACTCACTTTTTTTATTTTTTGCCAAGAGATCCGATTCGTGGTGTACGTTGATTTCTGAAATTTGAAGCCATGCGATACAATTTTGTTTCAAATGTATTGATTTAGTACATTGACTTATATGATATCACATTTCACCCACCTATTCACATTGTGTCTGATGTGGTTTTGCATCATCTATTTTGGTGAATTGTTTCAACTTTTTTTTGTGGATAAAATAAACCTTCTCAAGCAATGGGTTAAGTTTTTTTTTTGTTTTGTTTTTTGAGTAATTGTATTTTGGAGTTTTATTGTAAAAAAGGAAAGAATTTGGATTGATTTTGTGGTAACTAATACAATGATTAGACTTTATGATGGAAAAGGAAATGGTGAACATTCTGTTTGGTGCAGAATTTGCTATTCAATTTTTAACTGGGATTTGACTGCTTTGTCTGTGATCGGATATTGCTGCGCGTCATGTTTGATTAGAAGGTTCTTTACAACATTAAAGTTTGAGCGGGTTGAAAACTTAACTCCTCAATTTAGTGACTAATGCTTTTCAGTTATTCAGCTGTTTGGTTGGAACTATATTTCTATAAAAAAAAATTGTCTCATCTATTATAGCGATCACAAATGCTATTCACTGGTGTGGTTTTGAGTCACGGGAATCAGACTCGCCGCAAAAAAGTGGGGGAGGCTGCTACCCATTACCTCTACCAAACCTTGTTGAATGTGTGCATTGGCTATGACCTTTTATATTTGTATTCCCCTTTTTGTTATCTTCTTAAAAAAATAAAAAGAACATTATGGTAGTGGATTTTGCATTCTCATATCTTGCCTAAAGTGCAGCTATAAGTAACACCAGCTTTTATCATTGTAATGCTGTTAGATGACATTTAATGATTTTGACTTCAAACACAAGCCTAACTTCTGCTCTATTGTCAGGTATGATTTGATTATCACTGCAAATGGGAAGACGGAGAAAATTGCTTCAGGTTTGCTGAATCCTTTTCTTGCCCACCTGAAGACTGCCCAAGATCAGATTGCCAAGGGAGGTTATTCAATTTTGCTTCAACCTGAACCTGGTAGTGGAGCAACTTGGTTCACCAAGGGCACGGTCGAAATGTATGTGAAACTCCATAATGTTCTTGTGGAAATTCAAATTCGCACTGTTTAGTTGAGGTTTATACTTTACAAGTCTTACTCAAAATTGACACAACTGGTTAACCTCTACATGTCTTTGTCAAAACTTTTTGAAGGCACTTTGGTTACTTTTAGATCAGAAGCTAAGAAACTATTGCAGTATTGATGTTGCCTGTCAATTTGAAGCTTTAAGGGAAATAGGATGTAGACTAATGTGTGTTTGTGCCAAATAAAAAGGAAAGGTAAGTACTAATTTGTGTTTGTTTCCAAAGGTTTGTTCGTTTTGTGAGCACTCCAGAGATATTGGAACGAGTGTACACCATAGAATCTGAGATCTTACAGATTGAGGAAGCAATTTCCATTCAGGGCAACAGCCATATGGGTCTGAGCACTGTAAGCGTTATGTACCCGAACTTTTATGTCCTGTATGGTATGGAAAGGATATTCAGGTTTTTACTCCCCTTGTGTTTGGCAGGTAGAAGACTGTCAAGCAAAACCAGTGGGAAGCAGTGAAGGTATGCATAAAATGTGAAAGAAAGTGTGTTCTTAAAATTTGCATGATGTCGTCAAATAGGGCTTCTTTGGCATCTCTGGTTTTGGTTGTTCTTTATTCAGCGATCTTCTACTAGTTCCCTTCTTATTTATTCTTATTTTCTATAACTTTTATTGCAAGGAAAGATTCCATCAACAGATGTTTGTACTCTATTGCAGTGGACACTGAATATACTATTTGCCAAATTTGAATTTCTTTTTTCTTGTGGCATTGATATACACTCACAATTTTGAGCAGGCAGCAAACCTATGACTGATGGTAATGAGGAAAAAGCAATTGTTCTTTACAAGGTAACTGGGCATCAAATATTTTCTTCATATGATGGACTTATCATATATTATCATAATATGGTTTCTTTTTCTGTCAGTCTGATGTGCATCCACCTGAGGCAAATGGATCAATCGCACAAGAAGGAAATTCAAAGTATATTTCTGGTTCTAGCACGGGTGATATAATTATTTGTTCCATTTATTTTATTGCTCAAGGGTTTAACATGAGGGTGTTTGCAATTTTTCTCGAACAATTTCGAACCTAATTTGTGTTGATGTAGTAAGTTACAACTTAATTTGCTGGAGCACAGACAAGTTGAAACTAAATCTGGATGTAACCAAGGTCAAACGGTATCCATAATCACAATTTTATATTGGTTTGAATGTATCGAAGGTTTAATGAGGGATTTTTTATGGGAAGGGAAGGATGAGGGCAAAAAGATTCACTTGGTTAGATGGGAGACTATTTTGTTGGCTAAGGATAAAGGGGGGCTTGCATTAGGGAACATTGTAGCAAGGAACCTTGCTCTTCTCGTGAAGTGATTATGGAGATTCCCTTTGGAGAGTGACTCATTATGACATTTTATTATTAAAAGCAAGTATGGGGTTCTTGATGATGGTAGGTCTATTCATGTGGATTGAGGGGTAATTGTCGAGCTCCTTGGAAGTGGATATCTCACATTTTTCCTCTTTTCTCTAGATTCCTTTCTCTAAGGGTGGGAAATGGGGAGTCAATTCAGTTTTGGGAGGATATTTGGGTCGGAAATTCTTCTTTTGCCGGGGATTTCCTAGGTCTTTATAGAATTGCAAACTCTCATGGTCTCTCCATTGTGTCATTGGCATGTTCTAGTTTGGCTCTGATTGCATGGAATCTTAGATTTGCTAGAAATCTCACTGATAGGGTGGTTGGTGATGTAGCCTTCTTGTTGTCTCACATTGATCATTTGTCATTGGTTCCTTCCACGAGTGATAAATTGGTTTGGCTATTGCATACTTCCGGTGTTTTTTCTTGTAAATCCTTTTTTGGAAAAATCATTGAGAAACCCAATATCCTGTTTTTTCCTCTTCACAAAAAAATCTGGAAATCTTTTACGCCTCTCAAAGTGAAGTTTTTTATATGGTCTTTGGTTCATGGAAGTATTTTGACTAATGATGTCCTTCAAAAGAGGAGGCCTAATTGTTATCTTTTTCCTTAATGATGCATTATGTGTAAATCTTTTTTTATATTGCCTAGTAGCAAGGAGTTTGTGGCAGAACTTTTTTTTGTGGGGTGGCCTTGCTTGGGTGGCACCTGAATCATGTAGTTCAATGCTCTCTATTGATTTTTGATTTTTGGGATCTAATAAAAAGGCGAACGTATTGGGGCTTTGTTCAGTTTTTGCCATTTTCTGGGTCATATGGTTGGAAAGGAATGCAAGGCTCTTTGACGATAAAGTATTGATGTCTTTTGGATGTGGGAGAAAATCAGGTTCATGGCATCTTTTTGGGCTTCAGTAGCTCCCCCATTTAGGAGAATTCTTTATTTTATTTATTATTATTTTTTATATTTCTAGCAATTGGAAGTCTGTGTGTGACCTGTTAGACGTTTTTGGTTTTTGCTTTTGAGGACTTCTTGTCAGCCTTTGTATTTTCCCTTTCTTTTCCCTTCATTTTAATAAAATTCTTCTTTTGTTGCTGATAAAATATATATATATATATATATTGGTTTGAATGTCAAAAATACTACAAGAAGGTTACCAAATTCTGCTTATATTGCACCGTTGGGCATCCATATATACAAATAGACGTATGTGATGTTACAAATCTACTTTGTATTGGTTTTCATAATGTCACAAATCTACTTTGTGTTCAATATCTTCTCTACTTGACTTTTAAACTACTTTACCATATAACTTGGAATACGAAAGAGGTGATTGTAACTCTTTTTTTTTTTTTGGTTCACTACGAGAAACATGCAAAATTTAAATACATTGGTATGCATGTCCAAGTGTGTGTTTTACAAAAAAGTCATTTGCAAATGCACACGTGTTCCAGTCACTAGATTCTAGGGATTCCATTGTCTTTCTGTTTCCAAGTGCAAATAACTGTGTGTGTACCTACAAGTATGGCTGTTAAGCCATCTGCATGAATTTAAGTGTAGTTATGATAAGAACATTTCTACGGGCCCATCTATTCCATTTCAATTATTTGCACTAGCCTAAGTATTGTCTTTGATAGTGGTTTAGTATCTTACACCTGCCTATATTGTGTTGGGAAAACCTAATGACATCAGGTGTACTAGTATATATGCCTGCGCACAGTCTCATGAACAATGATCATGTTGCATGAGCAAACCTGATAATTTATTTTCATTGGTTCTGCATCATCTGCTTTCACATTCATCCTCCTATAAATTTGTGAAATGATGAAAAAAATGTTTCTTGCTCAAGAATGAACTGGATTTCTTCAAAAAGAAATGTCACGTTTTAGAGTTGTGATGGCTGCTGTCAGCTGCTTGTATGTCTAATGGGTGACAATATTTGAGAATATTTTTAGGAGCCCTGTTCTCATTGTATTTGATTTGCATATTTAATCAGAGTCCAGCTCTTAAAAGTCCTGGAGACACGCAAAGCTGTGCTGCAGAAAGAACAAGGCATGGCCTTTGCACGTGCTGTAGCTGCTGGTTTTGACATTGATCACATGACACCATTGGTGTCATTTGCTGAATGCTTTGGGGCCTCACGTTTAATGTAAGCAGCAATTCCTTTCTGTTTTCTTCTTTCGTTGTCTTTTTTTCCTTTGGTAATTTATGTTTCCCTCTGCATCCTCCCATTTTGATATTACATTCATTGGAGATTTTTACTCCCCCCCTGCTTTCGATAATTGTAGCCCTACAACTTTTTTATTTTTTTCAGAAACATTTCCTTATGGTGTTAGATTTACCTGTGCAACAGAGATGCGTGCTTAAGGTTCATTGATCTGTGGAAGGGAAAGCATGAAACTGGACAATGGCTTGAAATTGAAGCAGCAGAAGCAATGACCAACCGATCAGGATTCTCTGCCATGGATGCATCAGGCATTATGCCTTCTAGTGTAGCTAACAAACAAAACGAATCGCGTGGTGACTCAGCTTCAGAGAACAATAGAAAAGAAGGCATTGATTCAAGTGCAGGTATGAGCTCCAAGTTATAAATAAGTGGTTGTACCAACAAAAGATGTCATCCTTTAATCTTATCGAGGACGGCACTAGACTCTTACCTCTGTCATCATCTCTTCCAAATTAATTGCTCCACTGTTTACACCTTCCATTACACACGCGTGCAGAAGATGCATGTTCAAGTTGATGCGTGAGAGGCCAGTTTATATGCTTATGGAATCGAGACTGTTGCTTTGCCTTATACACCAGTTTGGAAAATTTTTAGATCTTTGAAGGAATGAGAGATTGATATTTTTCTTTCATAGTTAGACATGAAAAGAAGGCACAAAACCTTTTTAAGTGGTTATCACATAATAAACATAGTGATCGATTGCAATGGCAAATATCAAGGGCCCTAGAATCTTGTCAGTTGCCCACAGAATCATGGAAAGAACTTTATTTCTTGTTCACCTCGTTTTGGCTTTTCATGCTACTTTATCCCTTTGTTTTTGGTAAATCCTTGGGTGTACCTTAACCTTATTTAGTAAACCATTTTAGTCACATACTGTCTGCTGATGCCTGAGGTTTATTTTATGAAATTAAAGGAGAAATTAGATTATTTTGTTTTGAATTTATTTTAAAAAACTTGAGAGAAGTGTTAGTGTACTTTTCCTAAAAAAAATTCAATGAGGGTTTCATTATTTCATGGGTTCCTCTTAAAATGCTACTAAAATAACCTTATTGTTGTGTCCTTTTTATTTTACCTTTGGCATTTTGAATTTTTCCACTTCTCCAGTTAACTGTATCCACTTGTTGCCCAGATGAAAAGCATCCCATGGATCACCAAGTCCCAGTAGGTCAACAACAATACATTCAAGGTCCATTTCCACATCCTATGTTTCCTCCCTGGCCTGTACATTCTCCACCTGGTACACTACCAGTCTATCAACCATATCCTGTGCAAGGAATACCCTACTATCCTAACTATCTAGGCAATGGCCCATTTTATCAGTCACCTTATCCACCGATGGAGGATTCTCGATTCAATGTTGGTCATAGAGCCGGACAGAAAAGGCACTCCATGGATAGTATAGACAGCAACATTGAATCAGAACAGGGTGATTTGGAGTTGGAGAAGGAAGCTTCACAAAGCCGGGGACCACGGAAGAGGGCCGGAAGATCAGATAAAAAGCGATCAGGCATGGTTGTCATTCGAAACATCAATTATGTCACTTCAAAAGGGAAGAATTCTTCAGGTAGTGAATCCCAATCAGCTTCTGACTCTGACACTGACAATGAAGCTGTGGATTTGCACAAGAGCTCTCTGTCCTTGAAAAGAAAAGGAGGTCAAGCAAAGTCGATGGATGAATCAAATTCACATGATAAGGAGGACACTAGTTATGGGAAGGAGACTGATGGAGGACACTGGCAAGCATTTCAAAATTTTTTACTTAGAGACGCTGATGAACATAATCACGCTGCCAATCAAGGCATGTTTTCGTCCGAAAAAAATGTTCAAATCAAGAGACGACTAAACACAGTTGGTGATGATCCTTTAACTGTTGTTGGGCGAGAACAAGCTGAAGTACAAGGAGGGAGGATAACCGAATTTCATAAAGTTAATGGAAATGTGACTCGGATGTTGAGGGCATCAAATGATGAGATTTTACCTTCTAGAGGAGAGGTTCATTATAGCAATGGTAGAGGATCCACAGATGAACAAATGGATGTACAATATACAGAAATAAATGGAAGAAAGGTTGCATATAGAAGGGCTGCAAATGAAGATTTTATGATTGTTGGACGAAAGAACCAATCGTATTTTGTGAGTTCATCAGATCCTCTGGTTGTAAATGGATACATGCCACATACCACCATTAATTTGGATAGGAGTTTGCCTCAAGATATGACTGATGAATCCTTCATAGTTCCGTCCCGGTCAATGTCGCTAGATCAAGTTGGTCCTAATGACAGAACTGCTATTAACATGGATTCTGAGCTCCCTTCAACAATTCAAAAGCCGGAAAACAGTTATAACAGGACTGGAAACCATGTTAGCTATGAGCTGGATGATTTGAGCTTGATGCCTGAACGCAGGACGGAAAAAAGGACTATTGGATACGACGCTGCTTTAGACTATGACATGCAGGTTCGTGTTAAGCAAGGGTTGAAGAAGTCGGACAAGGACCGGAAGTCAAAACTGACTTCAGATGCTTCGGATAAAAAGAAGACTGTGGGACCAATACGGAAAGCAAAACCATCAAAAATGAATCTTTCAGATGATGTACGAGCGCGTGCTGAGAAACTAAGAACTTTCAAAGCTGATCTCCAGAAAATGAAGAAAGAGCAGGTACTGCTTATTATACCTGTACACCATTGTTGTCAAATCGCAAATTGAATCATAAATTGTTTTTGCTAAAATAGTGAATTGTGAATCATAAGATTGACTTTAGTTAGCATAATATATTAATTCACACATGTATATACATTTAAAAATACACATATAGTGCTTACAATGAAATAAACACATTAAAAGTATATATATATATATATAACAACATAAATCAATATATTTGGTTGATCTATTTTTTTATTTTGCAAGAACAGCACCGTTTTATGCATTATGCAAACAGAACTGAATCGTAATGAATCACAATGAATTGTAGTGAATTGCAATTGAATTGTAAGATTCAGTCAATTTAAGATTCATTTGCACAAATCGAATCATTTTGCTGGAAACTTTTATCGAGTCGTGAATTGTAAGATTCTAACTACCATGTTGTACACTCTATGGTACAATGACAAGTTAGAACACTTGCGCCAAAATGGCCCATATGAATCCATGATCCTTTTGGAGATCACATCTTACCAATTTTGCATTGCTAGCCTTTAATGCTTCTGTTGCCAGCTATCATGTTGGGCATCTTCAAATTTCCAATGGACTTTTATATCTTCAAGTTATTTATTTATTTTTCAGGAAAAGGAGGATTTGAAAAGATTGGAAGCTTTGAAGATAGAGAGGCAAAAGAGAATTGCAGCGAGAGGCAGCTCTACTGCTGCTAGGTCACCATCACCACTGCAACCCAAAAAACAAATACCAACAAAACTTACCTTCAGCTCTCATAGAGGATCAAAGTTTAGTGATTCAGAGCCAGGATCATCATCTCCTCTACAGAGATCTAAGATAAGACCTGCTTCACTTGGATCCATTGAATCTCAGAAAGCCTCTAAAACCAGCAAATCGAGTAATGGGAACCACTTACCGGGGAATAGGTTGACTAGATCAGCTTCATCATTGCCAGAGTCAAGGAAAGTTAGCAGCGGTGTTACTCCTGATTCAAAGACTTCCATGACACGAATCAGAAGATTATCAGAGCCTAAAACAATTAGCAGTCCTGTTCTTCCAGTGAAAACACCAAGTGCCGAATTAATATCAAAGAGAAAAGTGTCTAATGAACCTCAGAGCAAGAAAACACCAAGTGCCGAATTAGTATCAAAACGAAAGGTGTCTAATGAGGCTGAGAGCAAGAAAACACCAAGTGCTGAATTAGTATCAAAGCGAAAGGTGTCTAATGAGCCTGAGAGCAAGAAAACACCAAGTGCTGAATTAGTATCAAAGCGAAAGGTGTCTAATGAGCCCGAGAGCAAGAAAATATCTGCTATTATAGACCTTGATCGAATCAAGGCTGCAACTCTTCCTGAACTGAAGATCAGAACATCTAAAGGGCCTTCAGATGTAGGCCAGAACAAATCGGCACCCAAGGAGATGACACAGAATGTGAAAGGGAAGAAGTCTTCTGAAACTTCTGGAAGTACTGAATTAAATAAGAACAATGACAAACACACACATCAGAGTGATATGGATGACAAGCCAGTAATCGAGAAGACTGTTGTGATGCTTGAGTGTGAAAAGCCTTCTATTCCTGTCGTGCATGCATCAGCAGAAAGGTTAGGCGTACGAAAGGAACATTATAACAATCGTGACAAAGTAGTGAAAAATGAGATGGTATCAGAGTATGCAGCTATTCAAGCACCGGCTTCAGCCATGGATGGAGTTGATGTAGAACCCATTCAGAGACAATTGGGAGCACAACCTAGGCCTTACGAGGTAAGATTGGTAGAATCAAAATTAATTTTTTTTATGGTTCGTACATAATGAAAGAATGTGATTTTCATATTACAATCTCTACCAAGTGAAACTAATTAAATTTAAGTCATTGGGTGTTACAGTTCCATGATCCAAGAATGTAGGAAATGTTAAAAACAATGGAAAAAAGAAATTTTTCATAAGCACTTTATGCTATATTATGCATTTCTCTAATAAATTATTAAACAAGTACAAAAACAAACCTATTACATGTATAAACCTCACTATTGGATTCAGAGGTTATTTGATTGCTAAATTAATGTTGGACCTCAATCTGTAAGAGAACATATTGCAAGCTCTATACTCTTTTGTCTTCCAAATTTGATTGTTTTAGGCAAATAGTTGATACTCCTACTTAAGACAGTTTTGTTTCAGTAATTAAGCTTGATTTGACCACATGATTTTAATGTAGATGCCGCACTCTAAATCATAGTTTTATTTGTGGCAGTCGTGATGTAGGACAGCCAGATATAATAACAATGTAACCGAAAAGAACAAACCACACTGCACCCAAATAAAAGAAAATAAATCCTATTTCTCAATTCAATATTCAAGTCTCCATAACCCTAACACATAATGGCCTATTTATAGGCATTCAAGCAACCATAATTAACAATTACCAAAAATAAAATGATACAAAAATGAAATTCTAATTATTTGATATAATTCCAAAAATTCTAAATTTTCAAAAAGCTATCGAATCTTTATCATCCAATGCCTTTGCTGTCCTCATCAAATTGACAGTCCCAAAATCTGCTATAATATCTTAAAGAATTGTTACTTTCCTATTTCCAATTCAGCACTATTTGAACCTGTCTTTAAATACTATTTTTATTATTTTTTTTTTTTTCAATTGATTTATTTTTCTGAACTTTTCTGAAGGCAGCAAGTTAATTCTTTCCAATAAAGATAAACTCAATTCTTTGTTATGAAAAGGATATCCATAGTTTGTTGCATTGGCAAGCAATCAAACTTTCTGGTTCTATTTTTATGATATAATACTATGTGTTGGTCAGGTAACGACATGTCATCCAGAGAAGGAACCACCCAAGACTTCGAGCATCCATATAGCTGAAAAACCATACCAAGCCCCTAATGTTCGGCTCTCTTCTTCTCAAAATTCAGAGTATGGCAAAGAACCTTCAACAAGCTTAGAGACAGTTGCGACAGGTGTGGAAAATACGAAAGCACAAGTATTATCTGGTTTTAGAAACCTGAAATTGGAAATGATTCCAGAAGCCGTGGAGAAGCCTCATGTGAAGGATTCACCAAAAGGGTTTAGACGGCTCTTGAAGTTTGGGAGGAAGAACCATAGTTCAGCTGGAAGTGAGCTCAGTGTGGAATCAGATCATGCGAGTGTCAATGGTTCAGAGGTAGATGACAATGCAACAAATGCAGCTTCTTCTAGTGAAGGTAATATGCATTTTACTGCCTTTTACAATCTTATGGACGATGAAATATAAAATGCATGATTTGTCTACATTAGGACTTGAGTTAAGCTTATTAATAGGCTAAAATAATCACAAAAGTCAAAAAGTCATTATAAATTATCATATTACTCTCTCTACTTTTCTGCACATCTTTTGTAAAAAGTCAAAAAGCCAACTAAAATAATCAATTCCCAAACGAACCTTGAAAGAGTTTAAATCAACTCATTTATTTTATTCAAAACACGGGTAGTTCTAAGTTTTCAAGAAAAACAAATAAATGAGGATAATTTTGGTTTTCAATGAATGTTGGTGATTTGCTCCACCTAACACTTGTTTAGTATTATATTAAGGTTTCAATACTATCCTATTTCACCGGGTAATGGATAAGTTTGATATTAATTTCCAGTCAGCCATAAAACTATATCGCAAGCTGACCTTTTATTTTTTTTGATTCTCATTGTCAGTTCATGCATTGAAGAATCTAATATCTCAAGATAAAACACCCGCTGGATCTACTTCCAAAAAGTGTAAGTGATTGCTACACTCCCTACATTTTATTTTCTGTCCTTGAATAAATGAAGATTTTAGATCAATTATTTTCTTTTGTTGGCTACAGCTTCGCGCCATTTCTCTCTTTTGTCACCCTTTCGTAGCAAGACCAGTGCAAAGAAGTTGATAACATGACAACGGGGTTTTGAAAGTGAGGTTGCATCCTTAGCAGGTGTGAAAAGTGAGAAATTTCATGTATCGATTTGCAGAGATATAATTATTTCATTGGTACTATATTGTTGTAAAAATTGGTTATTGTACATTCAAATCCTTTATTCATGCCTAAATGATAAAAGTTGGTTTACAGCTCCCTTTCTAAGTTATTGAACAGAAAGTTAGTTTTATACTTCATTGAACCTTGTTTTCCACGAAGTTTCGTCATTCAAAAATGTTATGACCACAGAACACACTACAGAACAGCCCTGGTAAGGGATTTGTAATCTATATATGTGAATAATTTTGTGTTTGTTCGGTGATTGGTATTGGGGGCTGGTTTTGTGTCTATAATATTAATGTGTATCTTGGATTCTGGGTTCGGAGGCAATAGGAAGGTCAAAACATTGTGTCCTGCATTGTCTTTGCTCTTTTTTGGACCATTTGGTTGAAGAGAAATGCAAGGATTTTTGATGATAAGGAAGTGGAAGCTATGTGAGATAAGGCGAGGCATTTGGCTTCATTTTGGACTTTTGAATGTCTCCCCTTCAAAGGAACTCATCTGTTTTCGATTTTTAGGGATTGGGTTGTTTCCAAGGAACTCCTCTTTTTGATTTCTAGGGATTGGGTTGTTGTTTACCATCCTTAGTGGTGAAACGTTTTATTTTCCGTAGTCCTTTTGCTTTTTCTTTTCATTGCTTGCGGACTTCTTGTCCTCTCCTTGTTTTTATCTTTTTTCTCAATAAAATTTTGTTGTTGCTGCTGCTAAAAAAAAAAAATGGAATGACAGAAAAATACATTCAAAGCGAGAGCAACATAGAAAAAGAGAATAATTTCTCTGAAATTTTATTACCCAAAACAACGTGATAACCTTAATGGTTTACAACTCAATTTATAGTGAACAATGCTTGGTGATCAAATCACAATCCACGTCCCAAACCGAGTCAAAATTGCATAAAGTCCAAAAAAAAAAAAAAGAAAAAAAAAAAGGAACCTCCTGTACCTGTCCCTGTGCCTCTTGCATTCATTTTTGCACATTCGGAGGATTGAAGAGAGTCAAAATAGTCTTGTGTCGTCTTTGCAATTTTTTGGATTCTATGGATGGAGAGAAATGAGAGGTTGTTTGAATATAAGTTCCAGGAGGTGGGTTATTTGTGGGATCATGTTTGTCGCTTAATTTCTTTTTGAGTGTCGGAGAACTCTTTATTTAAGGGAGTCTCATTTTTTTTGTTAGTTAGAGATTAGTTGGCGGTGTGTGCAATGTAGGTTTTTGCCCGTGTCTAGCTTGTTAGGAGTATTTTGTTTTTGTATTCTCATTGTCCTGTGAGAGGTTGCCTTATCCTCTTTTCCTTTGTTGATTTATCAATAAAGCTTTGTTGTTGATCAAAAAAAAAAAAAAAGAAAAGGGTTGAGCTTCTCCTATGAGAAACTAGCAATTGGTCATGCCCTGTGGCACAGAATTCTATATTTGAGTCAGATTCAAATCTAACATCAAGAATATAAAAGAAACTTGTTACAGATGTTTTGGGCTTGATGCGACGATCTTGGAAGGTAAGCAAAATTACTGTTCTGTTAAACTGCTCCATAAACTTGTTAATAATCATTATTGCATCAGATGACCCACAAAATGATCTATCCTCACCAAACTGGGTGAAGAAATTTACATCTAGCATAATGTGTAGTATCCCCATCAAATGCTATGTTCTTGTTAGCAGTTGGTTTATCTAACATTTGACTTTAAAGAATGGGCATTAATGATGCAGGAACTTTCTACTGTTTTGGTTGAACATGAACAGGTCAAGATAGCTATGGAAGTGTTATTGGAAATAAGCCACTCTCAGTGAGGCCAGTTTGGATATTTCATTTATTTAGGAAAAGCTGGTTTAATTAAGAATTATCAAAGAGGCCCCCAAGTAACCAATTCGTGATGTGGGAGTGATAGCGAAAGCACGATAGTGTGTATACATATATTTTTTACTGAATAATTTTTATGGAATTAATTCAAGCCAGTGCAAAGAAGTTGATAACATGACAACGGGGATTTGAAAGTGAGGTTGCATCCTTAGCAGGTGTGAAAAGTGAGAAATTTCATGTATCGATTTGCAGAGATATAATTATTTCATTGGTACTATATTGTTGTAAAAATTGGTTATTGTGCATTCAAATCCTTTATTCATGCCCAAATGATAAAAGTTGGTTTACAGCTCCCATTCTAAGTTATTGCACAGAAAGTTAGTTTTATACTTCATTGAACCTTGTTTTCCACGAAGTTTCGTCATTCAAAAATGTTATGACCACAGAACATACTACAGAACAGCCCTGGTAAGGGATTTGTAATCTACATATGTGAACAATTTTATGTTTGTTCGGTGATTGGTATTGGGGGCTGGTTTTGTGTCCATAATATTAATGTGTACCTTGGATTCTGGGTTCGGAGGCAATAGGAAGGTCAAAACATTGTGTCCTGCATTGTCTTTGCTCTTTTTTGGACCATTTGGTTGAAGAGAAATGCAAGGATTTTTGATGATAAGGAAGTGGAAGCTATGTGGGATAAGGGAGGCATTTGGCTTCATTTTGGACTTTTGAATGTCTCCCCTTCAAAGGAACTCCTCTGTTTTCGATTTTTAGGGATTGGGTTGTTTCCAAGGAACTCCTCTTTTTGATTTCTAGGGATTGAGTTGTTGTTTACCATCCTTAGTGGTGGAACGTTTTATTTTCCGTAATCCTTTTGCTTTTTCTTTTCATTGCTTGCGGACTTCTTGTCCTCTCCTTGTTTTTATCTTTTTTCTCAATAAAATTTTGTCGTTGCTGCTGCTAAAAAAAAAAAAATGGAATGACTGAAAAATACATGCAAAGCGTGAGCAACATAGAAAAAGAGAATAATTTCTCTGAAATTTTATCACCCAAAACAACGTGATAACCTTAATGGTTTACAACTCAATTTATAGTGAACAATGCTTGGTGATCAAATCACAATCCACGTCCCAAACCGAGTCAAAATTGCATAAAGTCCAAAAAAAAAAAAAGAAGAAAAAAAAAGGAACCTCCTGTACCTGTCCCTGTGCCTCTTGCGTTCATTTTCGCACATTCGGAGGATTGAAGAGAGTCAAAATAGTCTTGTGTCGTCTTTGCAACTTTTTGGGTTCTATGGATGGAGAGAAATGAGAGGTTGTTTGAAGAAAAGTTCTGGGAGGTGGATTATTTGTGGGATCATGTTTGTCGCTTAATTTCTTTTTGAGTGTCGGGGAACTCTTTATTTAAGGGAGTCCCACTTTTTTTGTTAGTTAGAGATTAGTTGGCGGTGTGTGCAATGTAGGTTTTTGCCCGTGTTTAGCTTGCTAGGAGTATTTTGTTTTTGTTTTTGTTTTTGTATTCTCATTGTCCTGTAAGAGGTTGTCTTATCCTCTCTTTCTTTTTTGATTTATCAATAAAGCTTTGTTGTTGGTCAAAAAAAAAAAAAAAAAAAAAAAACAAAAAAAAAAAAATTCTTTACAAAACTAGCAATTGGTCATGCCCTGTGGCACAGAATTCTATATTTGAGTCAGATTCAAATCTAACATCAAGAATATAAAAGAAACTTGTTATAGATGTTTTGGGCTTGATGCCACGATCTTGGAAGGTAAGCAAAATTACTGTTCTGTTAAACTGCTCCATAAGCTTGTTAATAATCATTATTGCATCAGATGACCCACAAAATGATCTATCCTCACCAAACTGGGTGAAGAAATTCACATCTAGCATAATGTGTAGTATCCCCATCAAATGCTATATTCTTGTTAGTAGTTGGTTTATCTAACATTTGACTTTAAAGAATGGACATTAATGATGCAGGAACTTTCTACTGTTTTGGTTGAACCTGAACAGGTCAAGATAGCTATGGAAGTGTTATTGGAAATAAGCCATTCTCAGTAAGGTCAGTTTGGATATTTCATTTATTTAGGAAAAGCTGGTTTAATTAAGAATTATCAAAGAGGCCCCCAAGTAACCAATTCGTGATGTGGGAGTGATAGCGAAAGCACGATAGTGTGTATACATATATTTTTTATTGAATAATTTTTATGGAATTAATTCAAGCCAAAGTTAAACCTTCAAGGTTCTTTTACCTTAATGAAGATTTCTTTTAGTGATACTACAGTGTCAAGCGAAGAACCAATTAAAGAGAAACTTTAACACATAAATTAAAGAAAAAGAAAAAAAATTGCGATTGATTGAATGACAACAGAATTATAAGGAAGAAAAAAGACCCGTAGAAATATTTAGTGAAAAAAATTCAAGACATTGTAAAAGATTCATTTAAAACTGTTTTGGTAACTCTTAACACCACCCAAAAGAGTACATATCACTGATGTCAGTAAGAGAAGCCTAAACATAAATGAAAATTGTAGTCAGTCAAACCGAATGACCAAACAGGATATATTGGTTTTGGTTCTCCTAGCCAAGGCCTCTTTTGCTAAACACTCTGCTGCTTCTTGTGGATCTTCCATGTGCCTGATGAGATTCACAGCCTCTTGATGCTTCATCACCTAGGGAGAGATAGAGAGAGAGAGTACAAAACCAGGACAATCATGTTGTATTACTATAAAAATAAGGATTTGTTTGGTGCAATTCATTGGAATACATGAATCTTCAATGCAGCTTTTGCTTATTGCTTATGAGGGTGATGGGTACTTTTAATTTTTACTTTTTGATTAGCAACTTCCAGTCTAAAGAATGTTGCACCAAACAAGTCTTAAGTCTCTATGCACAAAATTAAACTACAAAAAAATAGTAAGAATATACATATCAAGGACCATCTCTAGTGTAAATATAGATACACAAATTTTTTTAGGGCATCCAAGAATGTCTCATATGGTATGCTATCGTAAGGGGAGGGGGAAGAGGGTGATGGGGTTTCAAACCCCAACTAGATGAGCAAGGGAGTGAAGGCCCAACCATTGTGCTATCCCCGTTCGCTCAATTACATATACAAAATTAAATCATATAAAAATATTTAAAATGTAAATATCAACATAGTGAGGATAGGTTAAGTGGACGGACTTGAGATTTAGAAATTTTTTAGAATTGAATTTGAGATGGTTAGACTATGCCTGATATTGGGATGTGGCTGGCTTGGGACAATATTTATGTCTTATTATGCTGTGCATAACCCGGCTTAGCCTGTTCAATGCCCACCCTAAGTGAAGCCCATCTTTAGTGTAAATAATGAAGATACCAGCGAATGGAGATATCTTTTTAGACCTACGAACTGACATGTATATTTTTAGTACTTTTCTATAATTTAATTATGTACATAACCTTGTAAAACCATTGGGATAGTTTAACTTGGAAGGTTATTGTTGAAATGTGAAGCATGATTGAAAAAAACAAGGTTAAAATGAAACACTCAAGAAAAGATGTTTGGTGAAGCCTAATGGTTCAATGAAGTGAACTGTACCTCCCAGATGCCAGTACTTGCTAAGATGACAAGCTCTGTATCAGAGTCAATCCTTTCTTCTCCAACCATGAGTTCTGAGCTTTTAGATGATTTGGTGGTTGCTGTGTTGCCAGAGTCGCACGCTAATATACGCACTTTAGGAATGCGTAAAACACCTGAGATTTAATGACAATCACAAAGACCCCCAAAAAACACAATAACATCAGAGATTGCAGTAGTTATTGAACACAAAACAGAGTTCTTATCAATCAGATGCAGAACTAAACTACGAAGAGAAACTGGTTTGCAAGTTTGGATAGGTGATGCACATGAATTGGGCAACTCAATTCATTGTCTTTTTGTGAATTTGGGTTAAATCGTCTTACCCTATGATGTTTTTAGCCTGCAAAGTGTCTTCACATAGTTTTAGATCATTTTGAACTTTCAAAAAGTCCAGTTACATAGAACTAGACATGTAAAAAGGTTATATTGGTTGTAATTGATTTCTATGCAAGTAGAAGAACTATTGAACTTTACCTCCACTATTATTACTAGTTTCATTCAAATTGGTAGAAATTGTGTGACACTCTTATTTTTGAGGGTCAAGGATTCTCTGTCCCAAAATTTCTTTGTCCCCTGTCCCAATGCACTCTCAACTATTGAATCATGTAAGAATATCGAGGCATGTGAATCTTAAGACATGATTTACTACTTAGCATTGAATTGAGACAGGGGATAGAGAAATTTATGACTAGAGAATTCCGTGTCTATTTTAAGAGTTGGTATGAACAAAGTTAAAGCAGTCAAATTTCAATGCAAAAAGATATTTGTGCCCTTTTTTCCTTCGTCTTTTTTCCTATTTGAAAACCCTAACCCACTCATCACAATCTCCCCTCCCCCTTCCGCGCCTAATAAACAATCAATTGTTCATCCTCCTAGAGATAAATAAATAAATAAATAAATATATATATATATATGGTGTGATGGGATTGAATATGGCAGTGGGGGTTGTGACATAGTGAAGAGGGTTACAGTGGGGAGAGGAAGACAATGACACAATAAGAAGTCTTTTTTTTGCAATTTTCATTAATAGAGTTAATTGTGCATTTTGGTCTTAAATCACGTGAAAGTAAATTGCATATTTTCAAATGACGATGAGGTAAACTACTTTGGTACCAAACCACATGGAATAATGACAATTTTACCCTTCTGAATTTAAGCTTTAGGGTCTGGAACTATTTTATTTTAAAAAAAATTAGATATTTGTACAGTGCTTGCCTGGAATGAATTTCCTAGACCAATGTCTTTCGGTCCCTTGATGATGTTGTTGCCTTCTACTGATTTGATGAGCCTCACCATCTCTGCAAACAACAGCTCTGTAATCACCCATGTTTGCTATCACAAGCTTCTCTCCATGGATCACTAGTGCTGATGCTGAACCTATCTTCTTTGTCTCCTCTGATACTTGCTCTGCCTCTCTCATCTTGGCTCTTGCACTTAGATATGCCTTTCTCATTGTTTCTTTGCTCTTCTTCGTTAGCTGACCCTGAAAATATATTAAATACTAACCATGATTGCTCATTCTTGTTTCGGTAAAAAAATATTTTTTTTTACATTTTCAGAAACTTGTTACATTGAAAAACAAAATAAATGGAAATTAGTTGATTCAGACCCCTTTCTTTTTCTTTTCCTTTTTTTGTGGTGGATAACATTTTTTAGTTCAGAGTATTACTATAACATTATCACCGTCACTGCCTTGGTGTACCACCATCACCCTACCATTGCCATTGTCACCACTATCAGACTACCACCATTGCCACCATGACCACCACAACCTACAACCACTAGTAGTTAACACTATCATTTTTAAGAATGCAACTAAAAAAATACACTCAATTTAGTAGCTAAAAAACTTACACTATCATTTTTAAGGGAAAATTAGGTACACTTCAAGTTTGAACCACTAAATATAAGAAAACATTTTTTTGTGGAAGACATTTTCTGAAAAATATTTGCCATTTAAACAAATGAATATAAAATTGATGCACATTGTATGTCAAATGGTAAGTCAAGCAGCTTGACGTAAGCCCAGTTTGGCTTGAGCTAATTAAGTCAAAAAGTAAAAATTTATTTGTTTTCGATTAAAAAAGCTAAAAAACAGCACTTTCTCACCAACCCAAAAAAAAAAAAAAGAAAGAAAAGAAAAGTTAAATTCTATAACAATTATGCCTTCGTTTGGGAAGGCAAGATTGAGACTCTTTTTAAGTTATTTTAGTCATAAAAAGTAAAATAAATTTTTTAGTCTAATAAAATAAAACATAACATTCAATCTATAATCATTATATTATTTCTCTCACAAAAAAAGTTAAAAAAGTCAAAAAAAAAGCCAAAAACCATTCTCAAACTAAACTTCTTAACCCCAAATTAAAATAACTAAAAAAATCAAAAAATTAAAAAGTCAATCTACTTCCCAGGCTATCAAAGTCGTCAGCTTTTCTGAATTCTAAAAAAATAAAAAAATAAAAAATAGCCAAACCTCACCTTATAATATATTTGTCTTATATACAATTGGGGTTATAATTAAATCAAGGTGACTAAACAAGAAACAACAAGATTAAAAGGAATCACCTCTTTAGGTTTCATATCAAAAAGATGGGACTGCAAGTACTTGGTAACTCCGTCTCCAATTCTATCATCGAAAACTCCAAAAAACCATAACTCTAGTTCTTCAATTTGCTCTCTCTGCACCACAACTGAGTCTGAGTTTGAGTCCAAGTCTAACTCACCGTTCGACTTGCTTCTATCATCAACAACTTGATACCCATGTGTTACTGGCACCATCCATGAAGGCCTCCTGCCAAACTCAGTCTGACTCTTCTTCTTCCCAACGCCTCCGGTGAGAAATTTTTTCAGTTGAAATGCCTATCAAATTCAAGATAATCACAAAATTTTGAAATTTTGTTACGATTTTAAAATTGTCTGAGCGAATGAAAATTCTCCCTATGTCAAGATCAATACTAGGTCAAGATACGAAATTTCAAAGACTTGGTTATGGTCAAGAGATGAGGGAAGTCTTGCAAAAGAAAAAATTGATCTAAGAAAAAAAAGAAAGAGGCTTTGCTTATCGGGATACGTATCAATATACGAGATCATATATTAGTTGATATTGCAGAAAGTTTAAAATCTTGATGCGTATAGGCACCCTCTCTTTGCAAGTTGATTTTCAAGAGCGAGTTTTACTCGAGGTTTCTATCAAATTGTTATTGTGAAAAGATAGGAACTCATAATAAATTGCATCCCAGAATTACCTGGAAAGTAAATATATGGTGTAGATTCAAATTTGATGTATTTTGGGCTATACCAATAATGAATATAGTCTGCCCAATTTAAATTATGGACAATTTTTTTGGGCATGCAGTATTGTTGATTTCTATATGTATGTAGGAACTTAATTATCATTATTATCAACAATCAAGGAAGAAGAACTTTCAGGAAATGAGTGATCAAACAGTGAAAACATATGACAGAAATGAGTTTGTTTTTGTTGTCTTCTTTTTTTATTTTTTTTTCTCTATCAAATATATAGTCTTGAAGAAGCTCAAAACCTTTGATCCCAAAACACTGAATACTATGTGTGTGTGGAGAGAGAGAGAGAGAGAGAGAGAGAGAGGGAGAGAGAGAGTTACCTTGAGCTTGAGATGAAGATCCTTAAACCCCATGTTTCTGGTGAAAGTTGATATGCGGCTTCAAATGAATATCTGCTATTTGAGAGGAAGATTTGGTAAAACAGTTAGATTTTCAAATCAAAATATGAGAGAGAGAGAGAGATTTATCTATGCAACAGAAATAGTTTAAATTGTTTTTCTTGTATATATATGAAGATATATATATTTAAGGATAAATTATAAGGAAAAAGGCCCAGACTCCTTTTTTTTTTTTCCACCCTCTTGACCCCTCCTCTCTCTCTCTCTCATTGGTTAGATTATTTTATTTTATTTTCATTCTCCTCCAATCACCACCCGCCACGTTTGTGTTGGGGGGTGGTGGTGGTAATTGGAGGAGTCTCTATCAAAGCTCAAATTATAAATACATTCCGTTAAATTTGTTTAAAATACAAATTGTTCCTAGTAGTTTTGAAAATTACAAATATCACCTTGTTAAAACTTGTCATTTAATAGAATTAATAAAGAACTATATAATTATTCTATTATACAATAATGAAATTACTAGAACTATTAATTAAAATGCATTATTGAATTTATTAAAATTGTTAATTGACTTAATAATTCATTAATTAAAAAATTATTTATTACGCAATTAAAAATTTTAAGAGACGTAATATAGTTTTTATAATTAAAGAGAACAATTAATATTTGAACAAGTATCATAATATAATTTACCCAATATATATATTTAATAAGGTGTTTCAAGTAAATCAGGAGCCTAGTTAAAAGTATTTTCAATGCACTTCCTATATATATGTTTAGCAAAAATGTTTTTTTTTTTTTTAATATATGGAGAAAATTTCCATAAAATTATTGCAAATTTATGAATTTTTTTTATAATTTTAATTATTGGTATTTATAAAGTTTACATCTTATTTGTAATTATTTTTTAAAACTTACACTGAATTGAAATTAATATCTTTATATATATATATATATGTGTGTGTGTGTGTGTATGTATTGAGGTGAGCATTTTATTTATATGGGTGTGTTTGACAGTGACAATTACAAATTTGTAGATATAGTTGAATCAGCAATGATACATCCTTTAAATTAATGAGCTCTAATGACATGAAAAGTCAAAAAAAATACAAATATCACTATCACAGTGAGACCCATACTCCATTAGGGTTATTAGAACTCCTGTATTAGAGTTTCAAAACAATTTTGATAGTTGAATTTAGCAATTGCAGTGGTGGTCAGAGAATTACATATTTGAAAAGCAAAAGCTGTGACATTTACACCATGTTGAGTTATATTTTATATGTTAGTATATATCTACTAAGAAGGTGTGCACATTTATATAGGTGTGCTTGAAATTTACAATTATATATCTATAGATATGATTGAATTTAGTAGCTCCAGTGACAATTACGGAAGGACATTTTTATAAAACAAAAACTATGACATTCATATTAAATTCAGTTTTTACTTTATATATTAATATATATATATATATATATATATATTTTTTGTTAGTGGATCCTCTTTCTACCCAAAATAATAATAGATATGTTCTTCCAATTTTTCTGGGTAAGAGAAATGTTGTTAATCATTGGATTTATTGTGTACAAACCATGGTATGTTTAGACCGAGCTACCGGGTAGCAAGGTTTCGACCGTTCTAACCACAATACGTCATGACTGGACTAACTTTGAGACCGGCCTAACTCCAAGTTGCTTCCGGACCGGAGTAACTTTACAATTCTTGGGCCGGAGTAACTTTATCTCTCTCGGGCCGGAGTAACTTTATCTCTCTTGGGCCGGAGTAACTTTTCGGCCTTTTTACCTAGTCCTTCTTACTTTGGGCCATAAAGTCCATCTCATAGCTCGGCCCCATTTTCACCAAAATTACCCTCTCAATTGCTCCTTAATTCCATCTGCACAGCATGATTGGGATTACCTGTTTACTAGCCGAGCTGAAGTTTTCAAGCCTTTCCAGCCGAGCTAAAAAAACCCATTAGCCTCTCCAGCCGAGCTAAAAACTCTTTAGCCTTCCGGCCGAGCTTATTTCACTCCGGGCTCTACTTGTCCGGTTAAAACGTCTCTTCAATCACAGCGACTGTAACGCTTCCCTTTCCAATGACACGTGGCAGGCTCTGATAGGCTGGGGGCAGCTGTCACGCCGCCCTCGTACTACGAAAAATTTGAACAGTTCCCGCTTTTTCTCTTTCGTTCCTTCTTTTACACAAAGCACCTTCCATATTTTGGATTAACCACTCTACTATTACATCCCTTCTCTCTCCACCCTGTGTTCTTGCTGTTTTTCCGTTGCACTTGAAGAGACTGTGACTTTGCTGCCATTTTTCCATTTTTAGTGTTTCTTCGTCTTCGTTTGGTAAGCAACTGGAATCCATCTATCTTTCTTTGCTTTTATTTACTTCCATGTAGTTTGTTTCGTGTGTTTTTGCAAAACATATTCTTTCCATTTGCTTTGCCCTGTATTTTACTGGAAAAACTTTACAGAACTCATGCGTGTATGTAATATCCTGTAGAAGACTAGTCTTTGATCCAAAATCATGATGCAACCGAACTAGGATACTGTTTATGCTATATATGTAGATCAATTCAGACAATAACCGAACTAGAATTCGTAGAAATAACAGTAGTTTCAGCAAGTTACCAACTCCTGATTCACTTTAGTCGAGATACACTCACCGAACGAAGTTTGAACTTTGTAAACTAGGAACCTCGGCCTTCAACCGAGCTAAGCCTTTGGGGCTAACCCAGCTTCCTTAGTTTCTAAACCAAACTCAGAAAGCTGCCCCTAGAGGCTCAACTGAAGTAACAAAACCCATAGTTCAAACTGAGATAACCAACCTTATACAAAAACCGATCTTGCGAACCCTATGCTCAAACCGAGCTACCAAGCATTTTGCTGAACCGAGATAGAACCTGTCCACAAAACCGAAGTAGGGCTCTTTTACCTTGCTTTTAATTTGTAGCACGGTCCAATGATCTGTGCTTAACCCCTTTGTTTTCTACTTTGCAGACTTAGGTTGCCCAGGCACTCCTTCGTGCGCTTAACCGAGCTACTGAGCACAACTTTTGCACCGATCTAATTTATTCATAATTTATACAATAAAATGGGGAAGTATAGGTATCTAGTAGACACTCCGGGCGACCTAGCCGAATTCAGAAAAGACTACAATATTCCTGATGACGTCCACCTAATTTTAGCCGAAAAAGATGTCATTCCTTGGGACAATTAAGGCTTTGTTCCTTTCACCCTTTTGTCCATAATCAAGACCGGACTACGATTTCCAGTCCAACCTTTAATTTGCGAGTTTCTTAGGCAAACTAGACTATGCCCTACCCAACTATCCACCAATTCATACCGCATCATAATGGGAATAGCCGAACTGAACCGCCAAGCCAGACTAAATCTTGGCCTGGCCGAAATCTTCCACCAATACTCCATTGGTTCAAAAGAAGACGGGTGGGTCTACTATTTAAGAATACGACATCGCCGAGAGAAGATAATAAAACACACACCGGACAAAGACTTAAACGACGATGATTTTTTCTGGGTGTCTGGGAACTTTGAGGATCATCAAGCCCAGATTCCTGGCCGACGTATAAATTGGAAAAAAGGAGAACCCGGTATACTTACTTCGGTTTTCTTGCTTGCTTTATGATATTTCGGTTTTTCAATCTTTCAGCTGAACTAACAGTTGTCTTCTTTCGCAGATTCTGCCCACCTTCATTCTTTATACAGCTACCCAAACCTAGCTACTTTGCACGCCGCACTACGGTATCCAGAACGTAGTTGGGCCAAATTGCTAAAGTTCGAGCCGACCTACAGATACAGTGGTCGCCGAAAAGCCAGAGTGACTGATTTTCTTCTTGAAGACGCACCAGAGCCGGACCCAACCTTACCACAAATCAGACTAATTCCACTAACTGCCGAAGAAGAAATGGCTAAAAAGAACAGAGTAAGGGCGCTTCTAACCGAGACAAACAGGCCCGAAGTACCGCTACTAGGCCAAACGTAGCCTGCCGTTGTGGCCCTCCCTTCTCAACAGCCTTCTTCATCCCGCCCCTCTAAGTGCGCCCGATCTACCCCGACCGAACAACAACTTGTGGATGAGGACGAATCCATCCCTCCACCAAGTCCTCAACCCATCGTTCAACCGGAGCAATCTGACCGAACTGACTCCTCAAAATGGGCTCCAGTTCTCTCATTTCAAAACCGAAATATCGAGGAAAGTGACTCGGTTGTTGCTGAGAAGGACCACTTGATGGCTTTCAACCTAGCCAAGAGTGTTTGCCTTCCAAAAGATATGGAGCACCACAACAAGCAACTCAACACCGAACTGAAGGCCATCTGGTCATCAACAAAGTCAATGATCCTGGTAAGTGGCTCTCCCTTTTCTGTCTAATTTTTCCCAACTGTCAGTTCGGCTGAAGAGAGTTACTATTCTTTTGCAGGCCATTTAGAAGAACAATATTGCACATAAAAAGGTGCTGGAGCTCCGCAAGACAACAAGGCATGCCATGGCAGACGCCGAGGCAAAGACAGCCGAACTTGAGAATGCCAAGAAGCGGATAGCCGAGCTACAGTTTGAGAACGGTCGCTTGACCGGACTTGTTAGCTCGGCTGAAGTTGAAAAACAAAAAATTGCAATAACGGCGAAAGATAAATATTTGCGCGAGTTGGCCAAACTCGAAGGCAAAAATGACGCCGAAATAGCGGATCTGAAGAAGAAGATCAGTGATGCCAATGCCCAAGGTTTTAAAGAAGCGGAGGGCCTCTATATTCCGCAATGCGAAGGGGCAAAGGATTTATTCTTCAAGTGCGGCTGAAGAAGTGCGGTGGAGCAGCTCGGTTGTGGGCCTGAAACCGAGGTCTACAATGCTCCACAGTACTTTATTCCAGCCTCGCTTGCGGAATATGCTGTTTCGGTCCAAGAACAATTCTTGCAGGATTCAGATGATTCAGACGATGAAAATGAACAAACTGTTATTCCGGTAGTCAACGCGCAAGTCAACGATCAATCAGCTCGGTTGGAGGCAACGGTGGAAGACCTGACTGTTGAGCCATCGACTGATATCGTTCTTCCAGTTGCTGCTGAGACGGATGTTCCATCTGCAACCGGCGTTTAAGTTGACATTGATGCCGAGATTGAAGACC